CCAACTGTCGAAGCACCCACCCATCTGCGTGGCTGACTGACTGCCTGACAGGCGTTGCCCACCACCCACTCGATTAAGTAGCTGCTAAATGTTTGCCAAGCATTACCCGATACCTTCTCTCCATAAAAGAGAGTGTGAGTGAGAATGGCTGGCGGTTTGACTACTTAGTTGGTTGGTTGGTTGGTTGACGTTGGTTCACGGTATTTTACGGTGCATTGCACAGGTTATTTATTTACTAATGTAATTTTTTTTCTTCCTTTTTTTTGTTTTCCCTGCCCAATGAGAAGAATTTTTCGGTTACGCATTCAATTGCAGCCCTCCACACCGACCACGCTTACTTGACTTGGTGTTGGCACAAAACGGAAGTTATACTCACAGTGCAACATATTGCCCTCCTCAGCGCTGGCTGAGTGGTTTTGTGCAATTGTTACTTTATGACGAAGAAATTTGCTCTTTGTTTCCGATAAAGTTCGGCTGCCAATTCATTATTGCCTTCACACACGTCGTTGATTTGATTCCATTGCCATTGCTGGCTTTGGGTGAAGGCTGTGGATGGCATAAAATTATAATCTCCACAAATGTGGGTGTGTTTGTGTTTGTTTGTTCGTATGCTCTCTCTCTCTCTCTCTCTCTCACACTGTATTATCGAGCTGCTGTAGGAGTGCATGGCGAAGGGTCGTCGGACCATTTGTGCGGTAGCTAAAATTACTTTCATATACAATATTTTTATTGCTTTTTATGGCATTCATAAACGAATATTCTGCATTTCCTTTAGATTGTGGCGAGTTAGCCGTGATTTTGGTGAAATCAAATTGTTGTTGGGCACTTTTTTATGCCTAAATAATGATTGGACGAAAAGTTATTGCAAATTATTCGATATACGAATATTTGATGGTCGTCAGTTGGTGCTAACGGATTTTTTATGTCGCACTTAAATGCAATAACAACTACATAACAGATATATTGTAGTTATATAGGCGTTGTTGTTGGGCATATAGATGTTATTTAAGTGTTGTGGTGAAAAAATAAAATAAGATAAAATGAAAGATAAACAAAATTAAAAAAAGAAAAACAATAACAAAACAGCACAATAAGTGAAAATATAATTCACAAAAAAAAATTTAAATTATTAAGGGTCAAGTAAAGAGTCATCCATTATTTTTACATTAAAATGAAGGCTTTATTTATCAAAGTTAGAATCATAATACAATAATTTAAAGGTACACTGCAAGAACGGGCTGATGGATTCACCAATGCACTCTCTCGATTTCAGGCATCACTAACACACATGCAAATTTTTTTTTGTTTATCTTTCTCTGCTGAGAACATTTTCTTTGTTCTCATTTTTGAGTAGAACGCCATTTTTTTCTCGTTTTCTCCGCAGTAGATGGAAGTGAAAAATACATGATGAGGATCCTGTACAAGCTATAGTAATAATATATTTTGTATTAATTAGTTAATCCATTTTTCATTGCTTTTTACATTTATTTATTTAAGGATACTACATTTCGTACGGAAAGATCAGCTAATGGAGCAGTTTGACTGAAACTGATGGATGGACGCTTCTCATCTCTAGCCGCAGTAGCAGAATTAAAAATATTCGACAAAACTTTGCGTTGAGGTACAACGGCATTTAGACATTAATAACATTATGATTCAAAAATTATTTTTTAATTTTACTTAGATGTCTTTTTAATTGAAAGGAGCTGCGATAATGACGGAGGCGTTCGTGAGGCTTACAATATTTTGCAGATTTTTGAAAAGGTATTTATTCCTATATTATTATTTTTTGTATACTATATAAGCCATATACCTGATCTATGTAAAAATATTGAAATAAAGACTGAATCTTAATAATATTTGTATATATGTGTATACGTTTATGTAGGAAAAATTTTTGTCAAAGCTGATTTCCTTCGGCATCAATGCTGTCGCTCAGCTGTGTTCGGTTTGACCGACAAGATTGACAAAAATGAACGAGGAAACAAAGAGAGAATGACATGCACATATACAAATATAAACATAACGTTTGTCATTTCGGTCTTAAAAAAGTGATAGGAAATCGTTCTATGAGCTGACGGGATATGTCCTCATGTATTCCTGACATATGTTGGCTCAAATGATCGGAAGCCTTCTTGCAGGGCAATTTCATTCTCTCTGCTCAATGGGCTTCATAGCTATATGACATTAAGCGGTTTTCGTCTTTTTCGTGTTACCAGAAAAAATCATCTTCTTTGCCTTGAAAAATATACAAAGCCGCAAAAAAATACTTTCAAATAAAAAAAAGAAATATCTAATAAATAGAAAATATGACTTTTGCATTTTATTTAGTTGTAGAGTTCGCACGCGACTCCGTCCGCATGAAATTTAGATAAAGATTGTGCTATTAAGACTTCTTGTTGGCTTCATTTAAACTAAAACCTCGATTTTTTCAAACAGTTCGATCACTGATCCCCTTTCTACAGGCTTGCCTTAAGACCAATTCTTCACCTGTCAAATCATTCCCCATAGATAGCAGTACAAGATAATCACCTGGTGTGAGGTCCAAACTAGAAGATGGATGTACCTATCAACCAAGCTCTTAGAACTTTTGGCGAGTAACTATCGATGTGCTTGGTATGGTATTGTGCTGATGAAGTACAATTCCCATACAGCTGGCCTTATGTATGACAGCTTCCATCAAACGGTCCAATTATAGACAGTATAGGTGCGAATTAAGAGCTTGGATTCCTTGTCAATACCACCCAGCACACAAAAGCATCCTTCCAGTCAACACTGGCTTGGAGATCGTTTGTGACGACTCACTCCTCAGTGCTTGCTTGGCGATTAGACTCGACGATTTCCATTATCGAAATCGACATTTTCGACAATTGGCTTTCCACTCCGTGCAGCATCGCCGTTTATCGCTCCATCAGCTGCGGTATTTGGCGTTCACAACTCGCAGAGGACCATAAATCTTACGCAAATCTTTTTTTAGAACGGAAACGATGAGGGACTTGTAGAGTTTGAGTGATTCTACGTAGTACTTAATGCTGACATTGTTGTTGGTGTTAATACTGGCTGCAGGATAAACAAAATTATCTGCGTTTCCAAGATAATGACTGTAAACATTGACTCAAAGCCAAATTGCGAATGTGATACTGTTTATTTGTTGACAGAAGATATTTGATCCCGCCCGCATTTACTACCAGAACCATTCGCCTCGCTCTTTTATCAAGTCTGGAGAAATCAGAGCACACGGCGCGGTTGTTTTCTCTAGTACTAAATTAAAGCAGTTAGACGATAAGGAATCCCTTTGTCCGAAACCTCATTTGGTATCGAACGGCTCGGAGAGGTCCTTCCCGATCCTTATTGAGATTTTCGTGTTACTGTTTACACAGCCATGTAAGTTTTGCGGGGCTACTAAAGTTAGACATAACTGCGTAGAGGTAGAACCTTAAAATTGACGAAGAGGTGATGCGTCTCGATTCTCTTTTCACGAATAATTTCTAAGGTTTGGCGCTTGGGGAGTATATAGGCAATAGTGAATTTACCATGTATGAAGTTGCACTAATAAAATCCGTTCATTTTGTTGGTGGATTTTTGTTTTTCACTCAAAACGCTCGATAAGACCTTTTGTGTGATATTGAGAAAGCTAATCCCGCTTCAAACTGTGGAATATCCCCATTGTGGATTGAACAGAGAACACTAAGAATCCAAAAGTTGAGCATGCTTTCGTCCGACCATATTCTGGAGAGAAGATAATTCGTGCACTTTGTCTGCTCTGCGCCCGTATTTGAATAGCTCGGCCGGCAATCCATTTGCCCTAGCTGCTTTGTTGTATATCGAGCTGTTCGTGCTTCTTCATAACCGTGTAATGCAACATCTTTTTCTTTATCATTGAATGGTGAATCGAGTTTGCCTTCTCACGGTATTCCATATTAGCGACCATTGAGCAGGCTGCAGGCTGTGTTTTCTCCATATTTTCAGTACACTCTGGACCTCTGTCATCAAATCAGCTTTCCTGGCCCTTCAAGACTTTGCTTCACATTCTTTCGTGGAATTTTTGAGCTCCACATATTCACACATCACCGTCCCTTTATTTTTTGTCTGCCAGTTCTTAAACGCCCAAAAGTATGTGAGATAAAAATCGGTAAAACTTTATCATTTTTCATATGTGTGTATGGATTTGCTTCATCGTGTGTATGAGTATTTGCACTACCGCTGCTGACACATAATCAAGTGGTTGTGAGCTTAGCTAAAGTTTTTCAAAGCAGGGTGTCACAGATCAAGAAAATTTTGAATACAGGGTGATAGTAATTGAAAAACTTTATTTCAAACGAATTAGAATATAATTATCTTTATGGCAGACACCTTGACGTGGTGCGGGTGCTTAGCTGATACACCAATCAACATTAATCTGGGTGGGAGTAACGTGACAGCTACTCCAGCGCTGCATTACACAACATGCAGTTAAGGCTGCTGGAGAACAGTGACGAAGACCTGTCACCCTCCTAATCGAGGCTGCTATGCGAGCCGTGCCTAGCCTTTCTGTCACAGGGCCACCTCAGGGAGTAACAATGACCTTAACGCGACTATAGTGGATTTGCCCATCCACTTTCGAGATATCTAACATATGCAGATGGTTGTAAAACGAACGAACGAGGACAAGGAGCTTTATTATACTACGTCTAATCAGATATAAGCAAGTCGTATAAGCTACCAAACTGTTGCAGTATCTTCCAAGCCGAAATATTTGCTATAAGAGCCGCAACAGAGCTACTGCAATGTACTGGGTTTCAAATGAAAAGGAAAAGCGGCCTTAAGGGCCTTAACTTCATACAGCACAAAGCCAGCTGTGGTCGCACGATGTAAAGAGGCGACTCGAGCACTGTCAGAAAACAGAAGAGTTTACATTCACTGGGCCACACAGGATGTATTGAAATTGCCATGGAAATTTCACAAATAAAACTGTTTCTCAAAATATTCAAAAGTACCAAAAAAAACAACAAAAGATGACATCACTTCATTAGATATGATAATAATTTATTTACGTTTACACTTATTTGCTATTGTACATTTTACAGTTAAAGATACATTTCTATTTACCGTATATACAGTTAGCCACCAAAAGTGGCTTAGTAAATATTTATTACAGGGATTCGATTTTATTTTACTCTTTCAGTCCATAAAACCTGCATTTCATTTAGGATATTAACAGAAATTAAAGTGAAAATCATAAAATTATTGAAAACGAAAACGAAGACGAAAACTCAAAACACACAACAGTCGCAGCAAGCAGCAAGCACAAATCACAAACAATGAACGGTTTGGGGTCGGCAAGAATCCTCAAAACTGATGCATAGGATAGTCCGGTCGATATCGATGATTCGGTGTGCGTGAGGAGAATTGTGATATCGTGTCATCGCCATTGGTGGGCATATTGTGCGGCGGCGCCACCAACAGAATCGGCTGCAGATTCAGTGATTTCCGCGAACCGGCCAAGCTGACAGCGTCTGTAATGTAAGCGTTGTTAATTTCACCTGGCGGCATGAAAGGAGAGTAATATGATTGTAATGATTCTGTTGTCGTGTGTGTACGAAACTCACCTTTGTACAGTGAACTCTGATAGAGCGGATCGGGTTGTAGACGCACATGACGTGTGGCCAATATGAATGCAAGTGTCGCCAAGACCACACCATCGACACAACCGATTATGGCAAGAGGATAAGCCCAGCGAATGCCGCATAGGCCAAGCTCAAAACGATTCGCATCGGGTCCACATATTTTACGAAAATCATCGGAATTCCAGCCGAACGGGAAGGCAGCACAGGCGACGATCATGCAAAGCGCTGAATGGGGGAGAGAGAGAGAGAGAACGAAAATTTATTTATTAATTTGTGAAGACAGGGTGTTGCGTATATTTTATATCTATTTTAAAATAAGTAAAAGCCGTAGTTAGTCAGTCATCAGCTATTGAGTCATTATGGAAAGGCATTTCAAGAACCTACGCACGGATACAATGGAAAGATTCGGTCGCCCACAATACTAGTTAGTTACTTACTTTACTGGTGCAAGCACCGCTTACGCGATTTTGGCCGGTTAGTTAGTTAGTTAGTCCTATTGGCCCTTTGTAATACCTATAAAGAAGTCTATAAAAGAGACTCCTCTCACCACCACCTTCACAGAAACAGCTTAATTTGTTTTATAAAAACACACCAGATTCTTATAACTTGAGCCGAAGTTGGGCAGTGCAGTGGCAGAGGTAGTGCTCTACCACCGAATCGTCCTCGTATGTAGTATCTCTGCAGTTCCGGCAGAAGTCATTAGAGAAGTTTCCAATATTTCTACCATGAGTCCGCATCAAACAGTGCCCGCTTAATATTATATGTCGGTTGTTTTGATCGTGGGGGGTCTATTTACAAAGAGTAGAAACGTAGGTTCTCTTCATCGATCAGTTGTCAGAACTGTCTACTGGCTTTGCTGGTGAAGATCGATATTACCAGATAATTTGCAGCAAAAAGACTTATGTCCGTATCGATTGCAGACTTTAACTTAGTTAAGTTTGTTCTCTTACTTTCCAGCTCGTCTGCCTCGCAAATTCCTGAGAAGACTATATTTCTGGTGACTCCAAAGCACGGCCATCCGCATACAGGAGACTTTCAAGTGCTTTCGTAAGAGTTGTAGATACCGTCGCTCTAAGAAGTATGGAGGCACTACACAGAGCTTTGCCTAGCTGGCACCTGTAAGTGGCTTTATCTTGTGCCGGCCACCCCTTTGTATAGCCGGTAAAGTAACCATACGCGGTCTTAGTTCTCATAATTCATATCTTGTCGTGTTGCAGTTATAGAGCGCGCTCATATCTGCCTTGTCACGCCTGTTATACTATGCAGGCAGTTATGCTAGCACTTGTCTCAGAGGTTTAATATGACATTTCTTCTTCAGTGTCGCTCACCACAGTAGTAATCCATATATTATGGGTCTTACGACACGTGTAAGTCTATTAATAATTCGACAGGGTGACTAAGTCTTCGAGATTGCCACAAAATACAAACAAAGTGTTTTTAAAAATCTTTTAAATTGTCGCTGTGTCCACAAATATTCGGTCGACATAATCGCACCGCAGAATCGACGAATAGAACAACCATGGAGTGGTTTCGGACCACATTTACTCTAGTGGTGTATAATGCGGATCCTCAGAGATGGCGGCCGCTGCTGTGGTGCAGAATAGGGAAGAAGACCCGATTGAGTCCATCCGTCATCGCGAGCAACAATTGGAGATATGTCCATCCACTTTATGGAAAATTTTACGAAATTAACTTGGCTTGCAGACTTACAAAATTCAACAATTGAACAACACATGGATGGTACCAAAAAATCAGTGTTTAATATGCTTTATGGACTGACTGTTTATTGGTCCTTAATTCTTCAATGGGGAACCCTATATAGCCATGACTATTTGCTCTTTCATGCCTGAATTGGATGGTAGTGATGTGGATGATCTTCGGCGCTACCAATACGACGCTACACGGCAAACAGCCAATGAAACAAACAATTTATTGAGGGAAACTTTTGGTGCGCACTTCGTGAGCCTGTAGCGTGGCCTCCAAGATCGTGCGATTTAACAACGATGGAACTTTTTTTTGTGCGGTTATGTGAAGTCGCTTGTCTAAGCAGATAAGCCGGAGACGGTGAAGCTTTAGATGAGAATATGCGTCACATTTCTGCTGGCTGCTAAAAAACAAGATGGGCCTCTCTGCTGTAATTCATTCGAGGTAGTCGCGCCGGTCACTTGCTTAAATTCGGTTTTCAACACATAATGGCAACCCTGATTTTTATCAAAATGCTATATTTTTGGCCACAACATTAAAAAAATATCAAAATAAAGCCGTCAGAAATTGAACAAAAAAATCTTGTAAGTACCTAAAGACTTGACTCTGGTGCGTATAAAATGTTCAGTATAAAAAATAAAATGAAATAAAAATACCATTTGAATAATCCACATTATATACTCGTACAAACTAACCTGATATTATTTGCATCCAGCCGCATATGTGAAATACTCTTGTCGATTTCATGAAGATCAAGAATATCAAAAAGCAGATCGTCAGCAAGGCCAATGCCACCGCCGCAACCATAAAGAATGTTGCTAACTATTTTTTTTTTTTTTGTTTTTTTGTTTGTTTTTTTGTTCACGAATATAATGTTGACAATGATAACAATGTTGTTGGAATTTGAGTGTTGTTGTATTCGGTTGGTATGCGCAAACAATGGTTAATTAAACAAAAAATGAAAAATAAAGCAGAATATAAAAATATAAATAAACAAATGTGTAAATACGTGTAGATAGATAAAAAGGCAAAAGATTTTCTTCAACGCACTTGAAATGAGAATGTTGGCACTGTGAGTATGGTCTCCCAACGTCGTTTGCAATTGTCAAATATTTCATCGCGCTGACACACCTGCCACAAGCCCAAACGACCGGCACTCTCATTATCCGGATCACCGATCCATTCTGTAAAGGAAATGAGGCAAAAGGAAAAATATCATTAAATATGTATGTAAGTATGTATGTACAATATAAATATTCAGCTGTTATTTATTTGTGATTATTTTTCAAAATGAACCTTATAAAAGCTGAGCAGTCAAGAATTTAGAAAATACCATCCCTGTCATGCATTCTCATATTGGTCCAGAGCTTTATCAGTAACCCACCCGCACCTTCACCGATCATATCAGTTCCTAATTAAAAGAATTGTTTTTCATTGGATTTTATTTTTCACGTGATGGGTCCCAAACTCTACGCACAACCGCTGGAAAATTCGCCTTCTCACTTCAGCTCGCTTCCAAGCGGATTTTTTTTTTGTTTTTGGCTACCGAGAGGACGCTTGATCTCAGACCGGAAGTCGTGAGCTGTATGCAAAAGAATCGCTTCTGGCCGTCAAAAACTTACTTCATTTGCATGAACTACTCCGCATGGCCCCAAACTCGTTGGTTCGCGGTTACGCTGGCTTGGTCATGTCGTCCGAATGAATTAAAGCGCTTGAGAGTATTCGATGGCAGGATCAGGTGTAGAGCGAACTGGTTCCAGCAACGAAGAGAAGAACCGAATGATGAGCTATTGTTGATTCGGCTATAATCGCGTAAGCGATGCTAATGAAGAAGAAGGGTGTTAATCGAATTGAAAAACAACAACAATTTGAAAAAATAGTTCGTCCAGAAGTAATATGGTATTCTGATGTTACTATCATCCTTCTGAACCAACCATCCCTGACTTTGTTGATGGTAGCAACTTTTATATGAAACAGGTTTAGCAAGCATCCCTCTTCAGTGAATCCGAAATCCCAATTGATAACAATGGAATAGACGTTCCACTACCTAACTATGTCGGAGTTCGAACAGCGATTGCCCGCTTAAGAAACAGCAAAGCTGCTAAGGCTGACGGCCTACCGACAGAGCTTTTAAACATGGCGGTGTAAAGTTTCATCAGTCTCTTTGCAAAATATGATGTGGATGAAAGCATGCCCGGAACTTAAATGTACTTTTGCCCAATCCACAAAAAGAGCGATCCCACAGTGTACGCCAATTACCGTGAGATAAGGAGGCTTAACATTGGCTATAAGGTCTTATCGAGCGCTTTGAGTCCAAAGCCGATCGTCAACAAATTGATTGGACCATATCGGTGTGGCCTTAGACCTGGTAAATCAACCATTGACCAGATATTCACCATAAATCAAAAATCTTGAAAGAGACCCGTGAGAAAATAGTCGATGCACATCATCTTTTCATTGATTTTAAAGTTGCCTTCGACAGCACGAGAAGTAGCTGACTCTACGCGGATATGTGTGAAGAAGAAGAAGAAGATATCTCAGCTCCTTCTAGTACTTACATACTTTGGACGAAAGTTAATAAACCATTTCATCGGCATGAAAGGTATAAGAAGGTTGATTGTTGTAACTGAAAAATAATAAAAAAAAACTGGCAAAATGTCTCTCTTACCAAATTTTCCACAATGAGAATAGTATGTCTCCAAGCTTTAGAACCTGCAACTAAAAATTAAACGCTTAACCCAGAACTGTTTCCCAAATTGTATCGAAATAATTCTTAGAAAAAGCCAAAAGTAGTTTCAATCAGTTTCAAACAAATTAGAAAACGGTTCAAACCTAATCCTAAAACAACTTTGGATTAGTACCGAATGGATTCTGAGCTGGTTCCGGAGCTACCCTAAAGTAGTGCTGACTGGGAATGTCAAGCACTGTGAGAGTATTTCTGATATGAAAAAGTTCCTTCAACACCAAAGAAAAAAATCAAGACGCAAACCACAATTTGTGTTCGGAAATCACTTCAGCGATTACAAAGTGCCAATTATATAGTCCTGGGATAAACCCGTTGTCATTTCCTCGGACTAAACTCGAAATAATCTCAAAATATTTTCGGTATGGTTCTAGAATAGCTTTAAGGTCTAGTTTCTAAAATGATCCCAAGCCAGTTCTGGAATACACGATGCCCAAGGTAGGTCCAAAATAATTCACAAAAACAGCTTAAGAATGGTTTCAAACTGTAAAGGAGTCCTGGAAAAAGAGAAGTTTTAGAATAGTTTCAAAATGTTATGAGTAACAAATTTGAATAAGGTTTTGTGAAATATTTTCTTACTTGTGTATCTATTTCCAAAATATCTCTAAACTGGTCCCAAAACGAACAGGTTGTTATTTTTTCGAGCTAAGCTCGAATTAATCCTAAACATTTTTAAAATGGTTTTGAAATAACTCAGAGCAACTGTTTCTGAAATACATCGAATGAATGTATCAGGTGTACAACTTTGCTTACGCCGTTTTTTTCCAAAAATTCAAAGCTTTATTGCGAAAAAGTGCTTACAGATATATTATTCAATTATTGGCTTTCGCTAGCGACAACTTTCACCCATCTTTCCGGCAATTTTCGGATCCCGGCTCGAAAAAAGGAGTCCTCTTTTGACGCTATCCATGAGGCAATCAATTTTTCCAATTCTTCGAAGGATTGAAAATGTTGATCTGCCAGGCCGTGTGCCATCAAACGGAATAGGTGGAAGTCAAAAGGGGCGACATCTGGGAAAACGGCGGGTGGGGCAAGACTTCCCATTTCAGCGTTGGAGGATGACCTTGTCATGTCGCTTTTCTATTAGCGCGCGACTAAGGTGCATCAGTTGCGTTCAGTAGCGGTCTCCTGTGACGGCATCACCGTAAGTTTCTGAGAGCATTCGATGAACAGAAAAGTAAAACTTCCCGCAAATGGCGAGAATTAGGCACATAAACGGACTTTTTCGAGCGTGAATAATACGAAAACAAGAACAACTGCCACTGAAACGGCGATGATAATTCGTTAGGTACTGTCCACACTCACTTTAAAGGCATTATCATCTATGTATTTCAACCAGCCTCAGCCGATACTGCCACCTATCGGAAAACGGCGGAAACAAAGTTGTACACCTGATTGTTCCGTAGTGGCTTTAAACTAGTCGTGGAATCTGCACATTGCTATTATATTAAACTAAATCCGAAATATTTCAACGAAATTTCAGAATTTTCTCAAAATAGTTATGATTTGCTGGTTTCTTAAAGTTTCTGAGAATGTATGCAATTCGAAAATTGCGACAAACAGGTCCTGAAACACACATATAGTAACTATGCTCGTTTGTTTTTGAAATGATTTAGCCATAAGTAGTTCTGAAATTGCCACTGGAGTGCACACTTTGCATAACTTAACGAGCTAGACTCGAGATTATTCTAAAAAATTCAAAATAGTTTCAAAATATTGGAAAATGTTGAAACCGAATCACTCTAAGCTAGTCCTGGATTGTATTTTTATTATGCTAATTCCGAAAGATTCGCAAAACAGTCTGAAATTCTGAAATTTTCTCAAAAGAGCTTTGATCTATTGGTTTTGAAGTCATTCTGAAAATAAGCGGGGTATCTCCACACTAGGACCGAATTTGTTCTAAACTAGTAGCGTCAGCTTGGACTCGTTTCAAAATGGTACTTAACTGGCACCAAATTGGTACCAATATTGTTCATTAATAAAAATATATTAAAAATACCATTAAACGAAATTCATATACGAGTATTTATGTATGTACGTAGAATCAAGTAATTACCCACTATTGACTCGTTCTAAATGTTTCCTCAGCCTAAACTACTTAAAAAATGTTAAACCATCCAGTACGGCAAATAAAAAAAATTTAAAAAAAAATTTAAAAAAATTAAAAAATAAAAAACAAAAATCAATCTAACTTAGTCAAGCAACAATTCGTCAATCATTCGTCATACACACACACGCACATATACACACATACATGGATACATAATTAACTGACATACTAACCTGGCGTCACAAAGGCAACAATGCCGATAATGGCATAACATATTGTGAATATCGCCCAGAGTACAGCTATGGCCTTTGAGTTGCGTATGTATTTGGTTGCATAGAGATGCGTCGTGTCCACGTATTCGATCTTTGTGCCCATTTTCCAACAACAATGAAAATACAGACAGACAATTTTCTGTTTATTTTTTTTTTGTTCGCTTCTATTTTGCTCCTCGCTCACGACTTTGCAGTGAATTTAGTAGCTGAAAAGAGTTGAAGTGAAGCAAATATGAATTATTATGTTATAAAGAAAATAATTATTTTATTATTTTATTATTTTTTATTTTGTTTTGCACAATTATTATTTTCTTTTATGTTTATTTTTCTGCTATAGTGTACTTAAATATATAGTACAGCAACTTAACATTAATTGTAATTAAAAATAACACAAAATCGTTAAAGAGCTTTTTCGCCGCAGCAAAAGGGAAGTGTAAAAACATGAAATACTTTTTGTAGCTAATATTTTAAGCGGCTTATTTTATTACAACGGTGAGGTATAAATAGCTATTTATACTTTTCATATTTATTTTAGTTGAATGACCTAAAGAGATGGCAAAGTTATTTGCTGAAGGCGATTTGTACGAAAGACTATTTATTTTTTGTTATCGCCTGACATTCATCAATGCCAACTTGCCAGTAATTAATCAGAGATTTTTCCAAAAAAAAAATAATAAATATATTTTTTCATGTATTTTTAATTTAATATATTATAATTTTAAGCATTTATGAACCACTATTTCCTTTCACTAAGTTAATAAAATTTTTTTTTTTATTTTTTTTTAGCAGAAAAATATTTTTTTCCTCAAATAAGCTTTTTATAACTAAAAACGTAAATTAATTTTATAAAAAAATAAATTTCAGTTTTATATACTATACAATTATTTAAAATATTTTTCTTTGTTAAATAAAAATATTTCTTTAATATATGTACATATGTATATATATGTATATTGGTCTAGTAAAAAGTGATCCATTATTTTTGCAATAGTTGATTTCAGTGACCTGTAACCCGCATTACACTAGATGACTTCAGAAAGATGATATTTTGTATTAAAAAAATATGATTGGGGAAGTGTTTGCCACTTAGCTCTATAGTCTTTGAGCGCATATAAAAGAGGGGCATCAGCAAAGAGAAAATGCGCCGCAAGTCAGGCAGTTGAAAATGTGAATAACGTTCTTTGTCCTAATACTCGAAAAGTCAGTCATCCACAACTTCCAGTTTCATCGATTTCGTTCCGGTAATTTTGATAGAAAAGATGCTGCACGGTGTGGAAGACTAATTGTCCAAATAATGGAAATCGTTGAGTCTGACCAGGCCAGGAGCTAAACATAAGCAAAAAAATTAGTTTGACACCACTTCAAAAAGGCTGGAAATACAAAAAAAAACTCAATATAAGAAAGTCACATGAGTTAACGAGAGAGAACTTCATAGACCGAATTTGCATCTGCGAATCGCTGCCGAATTGTAACTAAATCGACCCATTTCTGAAGCGTGATGAAAAGTGAATCACTAACAGCAACGTCAGAGCCGACGCAAACGGACTCCAAGACAGAATTTACGGTCAGGTAGGTTTCTTACTTGTAAGTTCATTTGAATTGGCAAGGAATCATCCACTATTAGCTGCTTCTCTATGGTCAAAACTTTTAATTCGGACCTGTACTGGCAGCATTTGAAACGTGTGAAGGAAACAATCACCCGTAAGCGACCAGCTTCAAGCAATAGTAGGGAAATGGTATTTCATAAGGACAAAGTCAGTCCAAACATATCGAAAGCGACGCGCTTGAAGCTAAAAGAGCTTGTTTGGGGGATTCTTATGCATCCACCTTCCGGAGCTCTCACCAAGCAATCATCATCTGCTCCTATCTATCCAAATCATTGGGTGATGAAGAGTTGGCCTCAAAAGAAGTCATCTCTATTTGAATAAACGCAGTCCCATAAGCTTAACATTATTCTCTCCGAAGATACTTGGGAAAGTATTGAACACATACGAGTATGTATATGAGAGATAAGTTTACGGCAGTTAATGTAGACCGTAGAGTACATCCTGATATTGCATCAAACTCGCTAACACTATGAATAGAAAAATCTCTGGAGCATAAAGGATTTTCTCTGGTGATGTATATAAATGGAGATTTCGCTTTACCGCTACGGTAACATCTTTAAAACCCGTGTGGGGTTAAATCTGTTGAGTGAAAAGCAAGCACAGAAAATAAACAGACCCTGAATTGCTACCACTTTTGCCTTTAGCCGATTGTGACATTATACGATTACTTCTCACGATGCCCCAAGCTTCAGCCAAATGGACAATCTTAGATAGAAGAAATTAGGAGAAATTATCAAATCCCACAATTTGTTCGATAACACATAGTTGTGTTAAGCCGAAAAGCATAAAGAGCTTACTCCATATCTTAAGTGCGACCGTACGCGGACAGCTCCTCAACTTCCATTTTTCTAACCAACCAACCAGTTGACTGTGTCTCTAACGAAACAATCGTATGAATAACCTTAATCATCCAACCTTCTATTCGTCCGTAAGTGTAAAAGCGGAGTTTAAGAAGCCAGGCTCGTTTGACTAGCTTGCAGAGGTCACTTGTAACATGGGAGCTTCTTAATAAATTTTAAAGGGAACCGCTTAAGCTAATTGAATATGCAGAGGAAATAGCTGTGGTGCGAAAGAACCATCGAAATGAAATTCATTAAAAAATTGGCTATTCTTGATGAATACTTAGCCAATTTTTGTACTTAGCTCAATAAGAAAATTATGAGCAGACCGAACAGATCGCATAAGGCCGCGCTTTATTTAGAAAAGACGTTTTCAGACTACTATTAAAGAGAGTACACGCCTGAGGAGCATGCAGATTCACAATGGAAACGGCGGACGAAGTGGGTGTAGCGCTGAATTGAACCTCAAACAATCAATCAAGATGCACGATTACTGCAGTCTTTCCAGTTGGTGTTTTTCGCTATAAGGAAAGCGGCTGAGCTAACCAATCTTGCAGGATATGAAATTAGCAATGCCAGCAACTAGAATCATAATCTCAAAGCCTATTAGATAACTGGATAGAGCTACAAATCTACCGAATTCTAGCCACAAGACCATCGAGGCGAATAAAATAGTTGATGAAATTGTCAGAAAAGATATTCGCCTACAATGGAACGCAAATAGGAAACTTCCAAGATTCCAAAGTTTCTATACAAGAAATTTAATGTATCAGCTAAAAGATTACTCCGGGTGAGAAAAAAGAGTTTAAAATAATTCAAACTCACCAAGATCATGTGCAAAACCTGCAAAACAAAATCCAAAAAATATTTTCCCACGCGATCTTGAAGGGACCACATGATGATTGTGAGCCTAATGGAAGTCTACAACATTGTTATACCAACACTGCTTCTGTCCATCCATATCTTGTATTTGTCTAAGATATCTGGAAGCTTCAAAAGACTAGAGGAAGTGACAAAGTTAGATACCAAGACTATCTTAAACTTCACAGAAAGCATTGACGTTCTATACTACGACTGTTTTAGTACGAATAGGATTTAGAACCTCCATCGTTTACTACAAGGAACTGTAAGGCGGCATAAGTGTACGAGTTATTTAGTCTGTTTCTAACTTCTTTATAAAGGGTGGTTTTTTAAGAGCTATAGGAAAGTTTTTCAAAAAAAAGCACATAAAACTCAGAAAAATACATGAAATCTTTAGTTGAATCGATATTTAATGCATCTGTTGACCGTGACTGCGCCTCAAATGGTCCATCCACTTAGTCCAATTTCGACATACTCTTTCCAACATTTCGGCCGGTATCTCACGAATAAATGCTTCAATGTTGTCCTCCAATGGGTCAATTGAAGCAGGCTTGTCTGTATAGACATTCGATTTAACATAGCCACACAAAAAACAGTCCAAAGGCGTTAAATCGCACTCCATAAGTCTTTTGTTACATGTGACACTGTCTTGTTAAAACCACATGTCATGCAAGTCAAGCTCTTGCATTTTGGGCAAAAAAAAGTTTGATATCATCTTACGATAGCGCTCACCATTAACTGTTGAGTTACGATTCACATCATCTTTGCAGAAGAACGGTCCAATGACCTAACCTGAACCTAACCTATAACAATGAAAATTGGTTGTGAGACAAAAATGTATGAGTCACCCAGTCTATTTTTAACTTTTTTATACCTGAACTACTAACAGTTGCAATAGCCGAGTGATCACGGTTCGGGTCCTAGTCTGACCAACATCCAAAATTGTGGAAATTTTATTTTTTGTATTTTGATCGCCCACCCTGCAGGGATTGTTAAGCTCTCTGAGTGTATTTTTTAGACGAACGTCAATGCTTCTCAATAAAAATTTTGTTTTTTCGATAATAAAATAAATTCAATATAATTACAAATACAGTAAAATATATTTCAATAAATTATCGCATCTGAAACCTTATTTTATATTTCAATTTTATGCAAAACCCAACTTTTTGTCACTAGTATAATGCAAAAAAAAAATATTACCGGCTTGACAACTTCTTTTAAAATAGCATTTTTCAAATACTTCTTTCGTCTTAACCAAAAATAATAAATTATTAACAAGACAATAAATCAAATAAAAACAAGTTATTCCTAGATTTTTGGCTGCACTTTGTTTTAACTGATATATTTTCTTTGAAAAAAACCTTTGTCGAAAAACAAATTACTCATTTATGACATTAAAATAAATGAGTTTATTAATAAATGCTGCAAAAATAATAATAAAAAATACTTTTTGTGATTTTTGAACGCGATAAAATACATAGTTACCTTGACAAAATTTTTTAATGTATTTATTTATTTTCTTTTTTTTTATTAAGATTTATTTAAGAGATGGAGATTTTTAAACAAGATTTATTACTTTTATTTTTTTATTATTATTATGGTATTTTATTCACAAACTTTTAGCCATACAAACAATAATGAGCTTACTAGTAAAAGTATTATTTCCCTTTGATCCCATAATTTAACATTTAAGCTAATCGATTTATATTTCCTTTCTACCACCACATTTTACATCAATTAATAATCAAAATTTAAATTAAAAGCCCGCAATGCATAATCGTTAAATTAATGGTGCACGAGGAAAACGAAAGACTTAAGCAACAAACTTGGCTCAACTAAGCTACTGATGAAATGAAGCATACAAACACCAAATACATCACTTGCATACACACATTCGTA